CTTTTCTTCTTCCTTTTTATCATATTCCTTACTCTCTGTACATTAAATCAAGTAGTATAGGTAATAAGACTAGTTACCTATACTACACTATTAAAGGCTTTCATTTAATAATAGTAGTTTGTAATAAAATCTTGTTAAATATTATTTACAATATTATTTACTAAAATAAATTAATATATAATTTATTTTATTTTTACTATATAAACTTCTTTGCAAACAATAGTATTGTTTGCAAAAAAGTTTACATAGTAAAAGAAACATTTTTTAAAGATATCTTGGCACTCACTAAGCCAATTTTGATACTTTACCTACTATTAGATACATCTTGACAAGCTCTACAAAAGTTTCTTAAGCCAGAAAAGTGATTAACTTAATATAACAAAAAAGTTTTAAATACACACATACCACATTTACAAAGCTCTAATTTTTATAAATGATCTGCATTATGTTTCACTATGATCACTAACCAGATAACTTGCGGATTGTCAATTAAGTTAAATATTAAAAAAAGTAATTTATATAATTCTTAGTTTTCAAGAACTCTCTCTATTAATCACTGTAACCAAATTTCTGAAAAAAGAAAATTAAAAAAAACTGGCTAAACTACTAAGCTAACGAAGAGCTTACTGTATGTCTAACTAGAGTTGTAAAACAAAGTAGATACAACAACTTTTATGAACAATATTTAATAATCTATAGCAAGTAGTATAGTTTACATTCTAATAGCCTTTTGGCCAAAAAAAATTGTTTCTGTGAAAAAAAGTAGGAAACAGGCTTATCTCAGTCTGCAGATCCTTGTACATTGTACAAAGTAAACAAATATACTAACATAGCACAAAACAACAGTGATCAAAATAGTATACATATAACTGGTGCCTGAAACAAAATAACATTTTAGAAGCAAACAGGTATAATACAAGATAATAATATGTAATAGACAAACTGCAGTAGCAGAGTTAAACTGGTTTAGCAAATTAAAAGAATACAAGAATTTCTTTACAAAATTATCTAAAAAGTGGAATAAAGCAAGACAAAAACATACACATCTAGTATTATGGAAAGACAAAAAAAATAGTAGTATTAACTAGAGCTATATCTGAAATAATAAGTATCTTCAGAAGAATTATAAAGTTATATGACTATAGCAAGTATTTAAAGAGTAAAGACAGAGAGGCAGAGTTAATAAAGGGTGCAGCAAAATCAAGACTCGATAAACAGATTAAAAAAAAACTAATAGAGTATGAGAGTGGAATAGTTAATTATGGTATAGATAAAGTCAATAGTAAAGAGTCAGTATATATATTAGTAACAAAGAAAAGTAATACAGGGTTAGATTTAAAAGTAGAAGACAAGAAAAAACCCGATAGCGAAGAATTAATGAAAAACACGACAGAAGAGTTAATACAAGAACTAGAAAAGATGTCACTTATTATACCTGTGTTAATGAATACTAATATTGTAGAAAATATACAAAGGTTAAGTAAAAGTAACAAACAAAAAGAATCACCAGTAAGGGCAAATACAAACAAAGCAAACTAGGCTAAGCTATTTACACCATGAGATCTACTGTTATACATGTAGTTATAAGCAATAAAGAAATGCTTACACTTCTATAGCAAAATAAGCATTTTAGAATGGAAGCTACAGAGAAAAAAACAAGGCAGTATCTTTTAAAATTAGATACTACAATACAAGATGTAAGCAGGCTTTTCAAGCTATATAGGCAGTATATTTTGTAGAAGAAAAAATGTTGAGAGTAATATCTGGTGCTTTTGCCAAAGAAATATTAGAAAGTAAAGCAATATTTAAAGAAATAGTTAAAAATATTCCTACATCAGCAATAGAAGTACTATTGCTAAAATAGTTGAAAGGAGTAGGCACAAAAGCAGTTTATATTTCATATAACAATAACCAAAATCAAAGATATATGGCATCAGTGTACTTTGAATCAAGAGAAGAACTAAAGTTAGCTCAAGAAAGAGATACTTTATATTATAACACAAAGCTTGAATAGCTAGATAAAAGTGAAAAAAAGTAAAAGTTGTCTGGGAGAAAGAAGAGACAAAGATATGTTAAAAGAGAGATGTTTTCAGATAAAAAGAAAAACTCTAGAAAGCACATCCTGGGCTCAAATGAACATAAGAAGAGAAATATAAATGAAGTAGTTAGAAATCATACACAGAAGCTTAAAACTGAATCTCAATTAGAAATTAAAGAGGGAAGAAGAGCAAACAAAAAGAACCAAAAAGAGATAAGTAATAAAGAGTTGACAGGTAATACAAGAGAAACTACAAAGAAGTTGATGATATTGGGTGATCAAATAATTGTAAAAAAATTTGGTGGTATGTTAGAAGAAATTATGAAGAGGCTTAATAAGATTGAGAAAAGACAACAGAAGATTAATACCTCCAATCACTCCTGAAAGTTGTTATAGGCATTGTAAAAGAGGAAAGTGGCTGCTCAATATCAAGTTGTACAAGAAGGATTTAGCCACAAAGCAATAAAGGCAATACAAAGTCAAGTCTCATAATACAAAAAAGGAATATTAGGTTAAATATAGCATGTCACAACATCAATAGGATTAAGGGTAATAAGACAAAGCTTAAAATGATAGATGAGTGGATGTCAGAGAATGAAATTAATATATTAGAGTTAGTCAAAACAAAACAAATAAGAAAAAAGTAAGATTTA